CCCTTCATGGTGAATGGGTGTAGAATATGGAGGGGATTGTGTTAAGTTCTGTTGCGAGGTGACTTGAAATTACTTACACATTCTGCCCAGGCAGAGTTTTGCATTTCACATTTTAGTTTGCATACCCTTCACAGACATTTTCAGGGCTTTTTAGTTAAGCTTAAATTAATTCACATTGCAGAAACTTTCGGGGATTCAATCTACCCCAGACCGACACCCCCAGAGATGCCAGATCCCCACACCCAGAGTTGCTTCAGTCTCACTAGTAGCTCTTCTGTCCTACCTGCTGGCAGAAATAACCATTTCAACATAAACCATTTCAACTTCTGTCCCATTCGCTGGCAAAAATACCTTTTAACGTACTTTAACGTATTAACGTATTAACCATTTCAACTTTCCTTTGCCCAAGATTCCTATTCCCATGGTCAGGTTGGGATCTACCCTCAGTAATAACTACGGTGGCCCAGGGGATTGCAATCTGTGTGCAGCATTGAGCACCAAGGCTCTGTGTTCTGTGTTTCTGATTACATTTTTCAGCTCTAAAATTTCTGTTTCTTCTTTATAGCTTTTGTCTCTTTATTGGTAGTCTATTTTGCTCATATCTTGTTTTCCTGATTTCCTGTGGATGTCTATGTGTGCTCTCTTAATTCATTGACCATCTCGTGACTCTTATTTTCAATTCTTTGTCTGATAATTCACACATCTTCATCTCTTTAGTGTCAGTTTGTGGTGGTTTCATTTGTTCCTTTGTGTGGATCGTGTTTCCTTATCTTCTTGAATGTCTTGTTATCTTGGCACCTCACCTTTTCACTAATCAGCCACTCCTACTTTTTTATTTCTGGCTTCCTTCAGGGAAGACATTCTCTATTCAGCCTGACTAGAGATTCTGGAGACCTCTGAAGCCTTTTCTGGGAATGTGGCGTCTCTGGGCTTTTGCTTGTAGTTACCTGAGAAGATTTGCCAGTCTTTCTTCAGGAACGCTCCTGTTCACAGCCTGCAATTCTGCAGTCCCTGTGTTTTCATGGTAAGCTGTGGTCTGGTTCTCCACCTAGTGTCTGCGTGCGTTACTGCAGACACTGGTTTATGTTGATTGCCTTTGTTCTCAGTGATTTCCCTGACCTGGCATCCTGTCACTTTCAGTGTTTGTGTTCAACCAAGACAGAAACTTGTCCCTCAGGCAGTGCCCTGAAAAGTCAGGATATTAGATGGACCTTTCCATACTTTCCCTGTCCTTTGACAAATCAAAAGTCGGTGGTTTCATCACAGTGATACCCCGTGATGCCAGGGTAGGACCTCTATCAGTAAGCGTCTCCAATTTTCCTACTGGGCATTTATTAAGAGTTCCAGGCTGGGCTCAGTGACTCACGCTCAGCACTTTGGGAGGGTGAGGTAGGTGGATCACTTCAGGTCAGGCATTCGCGACCAGCACAGCCAACATGGTGAAACTCTGTCTCTACTAAAAATACAAAAAATTAGCTGGGTGTGACGGCGTGCACCTGTAATCCCATCTACTCAGGAGGCTGAAGCAGGAGAATCGCTTGAACCCAGGAGGTGGAGGTTGCAGTGAATCGAGATCTTGCCACTGCACTCCAGCCTGGGTGACAGAGTGAGACTTGGTCTCAAAAAAAAAAAAGTCCAACCACTTACGTGGTGTCTAGATTTCTTACAAAGGCAGTTGGTAAATGTGTTATTACTAGATGTGTGTCTTCGTAATGGAGATAGTGTTTGGGACTTCCTATTCCTCTGTCGTATTGGCATCACCAATTCAGCAGTTTTGTAATTTATTTACATAGGTCTGGAAATGTATTTTAATTAGGTGCCATAGC